TTTGTGCTTCAAAGAATACCATCAAGAGAGTAAAAAGAACTCACAGAATAGGAGAAAATATTTGCAAACATATATCTAATAAGGGCCTAGAATCTAAAATATATAAAGAACTATTATAAATCAACAATTAAAAGGCAACCCAATTCAAAAATGGGCAAAAGACTTGAATGGACACTTCTCCAAAAAATATAGACAAACGAATCAATAAGAAAATGAAAAGATGCTCAACACCATTAGCTATTGGGGAAATCCAAATCAAAATCGTTTCAGATACACAAGAAAGGCAATAATCAAAAAGTAAGATCCTCTCAAGGATGTGGGGAAGGTGGGCCCCTCACACATTGCTGGGAGGAATGTCAAGTGGTGCAGCCACATAGTAAAGCAGTTCCTAAAAAAGTTACCATATGACCCAGCAATTCCACTCCCATGTTTATACCTAAGAGAAATGAAAACTTACGTTCACACAAAACTTGGACACAAATGTTCATCGCAGCATTATTAGCAGCCAGAAAGTGAAAGCAACTGAAATGTCCATCAACTGATAAATGAGTAAAAAAGTGGTACATTCATACAACTCAACATCAATCAGTGATGAAAAGGAATAAAGTGCTGACACATGCTACGACGCGCTTGAACCTTAAAAACATTGTCGGTAAGTCAGACACAGAAGTTCATATCTCATATGATTCAGTTAACATCAAATGTCCAAATCGGGAAACCCGCAGAGACAGACGGTAGGTGAGTGTTGGGGAAAACAAGCCATGACTGCTCACGGGTACGGGGTTTCTTCAGTGAGTGACAAAAATGTTCTGGATTGGTTGTGGGGACTGGTGCACAATTCTGCGACTATATTAAGAACCCACTGAATTGTACAATATAGTTGTGAATTATATTTCAACAAAGTTGTTAATAATAAACCATAGAGATGGTATCTGGCAGTTGAAACTTATATCTCTGAGGAAAAACTATGCTTAAAGCACATTTTAAGTACCAAGTTTCAACAGTCACATAGGCCCAAACCTCCATGTCACCACTTGCCTTTCATGGGCTGCCCACCAACATCTCCTGGACACAAGCCACTTCACCCACAGTGCACAACCCGCTAAATGCACTGCTCAGCACTTAAGATCTAAGGATTCTTAGAAATCCTCAAGCTCTCCCTTTGATTTCATAGATGAGCAAACTCACTTAGCACAGGACGGGAACGCTCCTGCCAAGAGTCACGCAGCAAGTTCTCAGCAAAGCTGAGATCAGAGCCTGCTCCCGCTACCTCAGCTTCTCTTCCTACAGGGTTTCCACGCCCTTCAGACTGATCTCCAGAGCAGTCAGAACTATCCTCCTCACGGCCTGGCCATCTGAGTCAGGTCCTGGGCAGGAGCTGGAACGGGGTCAGGAGGCTGCAATCTCTGGGAGCGGGAGGGGATCAGTAAGGGGAGGGGGTGGGTCAGGTCCGAGAAGGCAGTGTAAGCCCTTCTTTCCGTAAGAGCAGGGGACGTAAGGGAGAGCGTGAACCAAAGGTATAAGCCACTTCATGGTGTCACATGTGGTCTAGGGTCTGTGGCTCTCTGTTCCCATCATCGACGCAGTGGGAGAGCGAAGTTAAGAGAACAGTTCCCCACTTACCCAGCTGTCCCCACCTCAGATCAGTATGATTTTGCCCCCCAGAAGTTGCCCTGTGAGTCATGGAAACTACCCACCCTGACCTCAGGGAAGAAAAAAAATGATGACCCTGAGCCTCTGGCCCCACCCAAATATCTCTCCCTAGCAGAGCCCACAGCTGTCCATCTAGCCACTCTGTGGCTGTAGCCACAGGCCAAGGCTGGTGAGGAGGCTGGGAGGGGGAGGCTGGAGACCAGTTCGGCCGCTAGTTCTCACAAAGATAGGAACAGGAGGCCCTGTCCTGGGGTACGTGTTTGGAGCCCAGAGCCTGGGCTGGGCTGGGATGTAGGTGTGGGCAGGAAGTGGGCAAGGAGGTTTGAAAATGTTTATTTCCCCCATACATGTACACCCCACTCACAGAAGATGGAATGGTCACATGTATGAACACTGGCTGAGGGCCAGGCACTGTCCTAAGCACTTCACATATAGTAACTCCCCAAATTTTCACAACCTCTGGGGTCTACGCTATTGTTATTCTCACTTTTAGTTGAGGAAACTGAGGGCCAGAGAAGCTAAAGGAACTTGCCAGGCCACACAGCTAGTATGCGGCTGGCCGACGCCTGGCCCAAGCCCGAGCCCATGCTGTGAGTGCCTGCTCTGCTCTGCCTCCTCGGTGGCCCTCCCGCAGTGCTGTAGAGGCAGGGAAGCCACCCCTGGGGCCTGCTCATTGACACCAGAGCTGAGCATGGAAGTCCTCAGGCCCCTGTGTTCTCTCCACGCGAGGCCTCACTGTTTGCCCCAGGGCCCCGCACCCGAGGCTGCTCTACTTGGAGACTGAACCTCTGGCCTTCACAGTTTGCTTCCTGAGGGCTGTCAGCAGGGCCGGATGAAGAGGTGAGGACAGGGTGGGTGCTGGTGGGAGGGGAGAGAGCGAGGGGGATGTGTGACCACAGTTGGGGGGCAGGGCAGGAAGCAGAAGTGATGTCAACAGTGGAGGCCTGGTGATGAGCTGTGTGGTGAGCCTGCCTGGAGGGCTGACACCACCACTTCAGGAGCCTCCCGTGGCTAGAGGGTGTCTGCATGAGAGCAACTCCGCGGAGACGCCAGGTACGGAGGAAGCAGGGGTTCAGGGAGGCTGGGAGTCCTGGGTGGGGCCAGAGGCGCACTGGAGTGGGGCTGCTCCTTTGGAGGAAGAACCTGATGGAGCAGGAAGTGTCGTGACCCGTAAGACAAGAGACTTGGGACCCAGGCTATGCTTGTCACTAATTCCCTGGGCAGCTTAGTGCTGACTCCGGGCCTCAGTTTCCTCACACTTGAGGTTAGAATATATGTCTCTGAAACCCCTTAAAATGTTGACAGCTGGAAACAGGCTTCCTGGGAGATAACAGGATGAGCGCCAAGAGGGAGACTAGTTCCTTGGATTAAGGATATGAACTGTGTTGGCCTCCTGATTGCCATAACCTGTCCGCCTTTGAGAGACCCTCCCTATTCTGTTACCACCCCAGGGACTGCCGTGTTGCCTGGAGCTCCACCATTCAAGCCGCCCCTCTCGGTCAGGCACAGAGACTCCAGCAGGAATGCAGGGCAAGTTCCTGCTCTCCATAGTCCCAGGGATCCAGAGAAGCTGCTGGCCCGGGGAAGGTGCTGGAGGGGAGCGGCCCCTGAGGAGCTAATTTTGGATAGAGGTAGAGAGAGGAGATTCCAGGTCATGAGTAGGCTCAGGTGAGACTCCAGGACCACCTCAAAATGAAGAACCTTACAACTAATCATTGTCCAATAGTGGGCAAAAGGAAGCTCATAGCCAGGCCAGAATTCCCCGGAGTGTGGCGGGGAATGCCGAAAAGCAGACTCGAGCGTCAGGAGATCTGGAGAGCAAACTTAAAGGACCCTCCCACACAGGATCCACCGGGCATAAGCCTTCGGAGAGCTTTTATTCTAGAATTTAGGCTGATGTTCTTCCACGAGGCTCAAAGAGAGGGCCCCAGAGGGAAGATTGGGATCATAATGGTGGTGTACAACCTCATTTCTCTGCCATTTCCATTAAAGGCTTAGTGGAAGAGAGAGAGAGAGAGAGAGGTGGAATGGGGAAAGCATGGCTTGTTCCAGGGCCCAGAATGGCACTTCTCCAGAATCCAGTCTTCTCTAGAGTCCCTGGGTCCCTTCCCAAATCTACTACGGCTACTCTCTGTTCCCCTCCTGTGCACGCAGAGCCCCTTCCCCACCAGTAGCCACTGAGGGGACAGAGCCATCAATCTGGATCCCCAGTAGGCCTTAAATAGTGGAAATCCTAGCAAGGAGCTCCTTCTGGCTGTGTGACCTTGGGTAAGTCACTTCTCTCTAGGCCCATCTGTACAAGGCAGGAGGTGACCAGGTTTGTAAAGGCCATTCCAGCTCTAACAATCAGTGATGTAAGAGATATCTCATTCCTTCCCCATTCTACATGCCCTGATCATCCACAGTCGAGGGGAGAGGCCAGACA